ATATAATATATATACACTGTAGCAGCAGCAACAGCAGCAGCAACAACAACAACAACAACAACAACAACAACAACAACAACAACAACAACAACAACAACAGCAGCAACAGCAGCAGCAGCAGCAACAGCAGCAGCAGCAGGAAGTTGTGTTGTGTGTTGCAGGATCATATACCTCTCGTGTATATGGCCTAGGCATGAGTTCCCCTGTCTTAGCTGCTGCTGCATCTCCTGCTGCAGCAGGAGCAACAGGAGCAGCACAATTAGCAGCAGCAGCAACAACAACAACAGGAGGAGGAGGAGCAGCAGCAGCAGCAACAACAGCAACAGCAGCAACAGCAGCAGGAGTATCATCATTAAGAAGAGAGGATGTATATAATATATCATCATGTGTATTACCATCTGTTGCTGCTGCTGGTGCTGCATCAACAGCAACAGCAGCAGGAGCAGCAGCAGCAGCAGCAGGAAAAGAAGAAGAAATAAGTAAATCATTAAATAATATATTAATAAATATAAATAATAAGTTTGCTGCTATTAGCAGCAACATATTAGATAAATTAGATGATATAGGTAATAAACTTAATGATCTAGAGGTACATCTTGCTGCACTTATTCATGATCAGCAGCAAGAAGAGCAGCAACAACAAGAAGCAGCAGCAGCAGCAGCAGCAGCAGCTAATGCTAATGCTAATGCTGCTAATGCTGCTGCTAATGCTGCTGCTGTAACAAATCCTGCAGCAACAGCAGCAACAGCAACAGAATTGTAAACTAATTGCATGCGCTAATTATATATGTACATCTTGCTGCTCTTATTAACGAACTGCAGCAGCAGCAGCAGCAGCAGCAACAGCAGCAGCAGCTAATGCTAATGCTAATGCTAATGCTGCAGCAGCAGCAACAGAGTTATAAGAAAAAATACACTTTTCTTGCTCTTTTAGATCTTTTTTCTTCTTTTTTTTTCTTTTTATTTTATTCGTTATTAGTTTCTATTAAAAAGCCCCAAAACGCATGCAAAAGGCAGCAAGCAGCAGCAGCAGCAGCAGCAGCAGCAGCAGGACTTTGTTAGCTAGCTAGATACAGCTAGATAGCCAGAAGCAGCAGATATAAGAGGGAAGGGGACAGGGGAGGCAGCACTCCTCTCCTGTAGTGTCTCCTTTGTCTCCTCCTAAGGAGACATAAACAGCTAGCTAGCTAGCTAGCTAGGATGCATGCAAGCATGCGTGCATGCATGCATGCATGCATGCAGGGATGTCTTGCTGCATTAGAAGCAGCAAGCAGGAAATTGCATAAAGTAATAAGTGGCTTCTTACTGCAGCAGCAGCAGCAGCAGCAGCAGAACTTACATTTTGCTGCTGCAGTTAGCTGCACAGATGTCTACATTAGCCAAGACATCTGTGCAGCTAACTGCAGCAGCAAAATATAAGTTCTGCTGCTGCTGCTGCTGCTGCTGCAGTAAGAAGCCACTTATTACTTTATGCAATTTGCTGCTTGCTGTTTCTAATGTGTTATATGTATTGTTGTGACCAACCAACAGCAGCAGCAGCAGCAGCAGCAGCAGCAGTAGCAGCAGCAGCAGCAGCAGCAG